TCCGTTTGGTCGACACACGTAGTCCGTTTGGTCGACACACGTAGTCCGTTTGGTCAACACACGTAGTCCGTTTGGTCGACACACGTAGTCCGTTTGGTCAACACACGTAGTCCCGTTTGGTCAACACACGTAGTCCGTTTGGTCAACACACGTAGTCCGTTTGGTCGAACACACGTAGTCCGTTTGGTCAACACACGTAGTCCGTTTGGTCGACACACGTAGTCCGTTTGGTCAACACACGTAGTCCGTTTGGTCAACACACGTAGTCCGTTTGGTCAACACACGTAGTCCGTTTGGTCAACACACGTAGTCCGTTTGGTCGACACACGTAGTCCGTTTGGTCAACACACGTAGTCCGTTTGGTCGACACACGTAGTCCGTTTGGTCAACACACGTAGTCCGTTTGGTCAACACACGTAGTCCGTTTGGTCAACACACGTAGTCCGTTTGGTCGACACACGTAGTCCGTTTGGTCAACACACGTAGTCCGTTTGGTCACACACGTAGTCCGTTTGGTCAACACACGTAGTCCGTTTGGTCAACACACGTAGTCCGTTTGGTCAACACACGTAGTCCGTTTGGTCAACACACGTAGTCCGTTTGGTCAACACACGTAGTCCGTTTGGTCAACACACGTAGTCCGTTTGGTCAACACACGTAGTCCGTTTGGTCAACACACGTAGTCCGTTTGGTCAACACACGTAGTCCGTTTGGTCAACACACGTAGTCCGTTTGGTCGACACACGTAGTCCGTTTGGTCAACACACGTAGTCCGTTTGGTCGACACACGTAGTCCGTTTGGTCGACACACGTAGTCCGTTTGGTCAACACACGTAGTCCGTTTGGTCAACACACGTAGTCCGTTTGGTCGACACACGTAGTCCGTTTGGTCAACACACGTAGTCCGTTTGGTCAACACACGTAGTCCGTTTGGTCGACACACGTAGTCCGTTTGGTCGACACACGTAGTCCGTTTGGTCGACACACGTAGTCCGTTTGGTCGACACACGTAGTCCGTTTGGTCAACACACGTAGTCCGTTTGGTCAACACACGTAGTCCGTTTGGTCAACACACGTAGTCCGTTTGGTCAACACACGTAGTCCGTTTGGTCAACACACGTAGTCCGTTTGGTCAACACACGTAGTCCGTTTCGTTTGGTCAACACACGTAGTCCGTTTGGTCAACACACGTAGTCCGTTTGGTCAACACACGTAGTCCGTTTGGTCAACACACGTAGTCCGTTTGGTCAACACACGTAGTCCGTTTGGTCGACACACGTAGTCCGTTTGGTCGACACACGTAGTCCGTTTGGTCGACACACGTAGTCCGTTTGGTCAACACACGTAGTCCGTTTGGTCGACACACGTAGTCCGTTTGGTCAACACACGTAGTCCGTTTGGTCAACACACGTAGTCCGTTTGGTCAACACACGTAGTCCGTTTGGTCGACACACGTAGTCCGTTTGGTCGACACACGTAGTCCGTTTGGTCAACACACGTAGTCCGTTTGGTCAACACACGTAGTCCGTTTGGTCGACACACGTAGTCCGTTTGGTCAACACACGTAGTCCGTTTGGTCAACACACGTAGTCCGTTTGGTCAACACACGTAGTCCGTTTGGTCAACACACGTAGTCCGTTTGGTCGACACACGTAGTCCGTTTGGTCAACACACGTAGTCCGTTTGGTCGACACACGTAGTCCGTTTGGTCAACACACGTAGTCCGTTTGGTCAACACACGTAGTCCGTTTGGTCAACACACGTAGTCCGTTTGGTCAACACACGTAGTCCGTTTGGTCGACACACGTAGTCCGTTTGGTCAACACACGTAGTCCGTTTGGTCAACACACGTAGTCCGTTTGGTCGACACACGTAGTCCGTTTGGTCGACACACGTAGTCCGTTTGGTCGACACACGTAGTCCGTTTGGTCAACACACGTAGTCCGTTTGGTCAACACACGTAGTCCGTTTGGTCGACACACGTAGTCCGTTTGGTCAACACACGTAGTCCGTTTGGTCAACACACGTAGTCCGTTTGGTCAACACACGTAGTCCGTTTGGTCAACACACGTAGTCCGTTTGGTCAACACACGTAGTCCGTTTGGTCAACACACGTAGTCCGTTTGGTCAACACACGTAGTCCGTTTGGTCGACACACGTAGTCCGTTTGGTCGACACACGTAGTCCGTTTGGTCAACACACGTAGTCCGTTTGGTCGACACACGTAGTCCGTTTGGTCGACACACGTAGTCCGTTTGGTCAACACACGTAGTCCGTTTGGTCAACACACGTAGTCCGTTTGGTCAACACACGTAGTCCGTTTGGTCAACACACGTAGTCCGTTTGGTCAACACACGTAGTCCGTTTGGTCAACACACGTAGTCCGTTTGGTCAACACACGTAGTCCGTTTGGTCAACACACGTAGTCCGTTTGGTCAACACACGTAGTCCGTTTGGTCAACACACGTAGTCCGTTTGGTCAACACACGTAGTCCGTTTGGTCAACACACGTAGTCCGTTTGGTCGACACACGTAGTCCGTTTGGTCGACACACGTAGTCCGTTTGGTCGACACACGTAGTCCGTTTGGTCAACACACGTAGTCCGTTTGGTCGACACACGTAGTCCGTTTGGTCAACACACGTAGTCCGTTTGGTCAACACACGTAGTCCGTTTGGTCAACACACGTAGTCCGTTTGGTCGACACACGTAGTCCGTTTGGTCGACACACGTAGTCCGTTTGGTCAACACACGTAGTCCGTTTGGTCAACACACGTAGTCCGTTTGGTCGACACACGTAGTCCGTTTGGTCAACACACGTAGTCCATTTGGTCAACACACGTAGTCCGTTTGGTCAACACACGTAGTCCGTTTGGTCAACACACGTAGTCCGTTTGGTCGACACACGTAGTCCGTTTGGTCAACACACGTAGTCCGTTTGGTCGACACACGTAGTCCGTTTGGTCAACACACGTAGTCCGTTTGGTCAACACACGTAGTCCGTTTGGTCAACACACGTAGTCCGTTTGGTCAACACACGTAGTCCGTTTGGTCGACACACGTAGTCCGTTTGGTCAACACACGTAGTCCGTTTGGTCAACACACGTAGTCCGTTTGGGTCAACACACGTAGTCCGTTTGGTCGACACACGTAGTCCGTTTGGTCGACACACGTAGTCCGTTTGGTCGACACACGTAGTCCGTTTGGTCAACACACGTCCGTTTGGTCAACACACGTAGTCCGTTTGGTCGACACACGTAGTCCGTTTGGTCAACACACGTAGTCCGTTTGGTCAACACACGTTAACACGTAGTCCGTTTGGTCGACACACGTAGTCCGTTTGGTCGACACACGTAGTCCGTTTGGTCGACACACGTAGTCCGTTTGGTCAACACACGTAGTCCGTTTGGTCGACACACGTAGTCCGTTTGGTCAACACACGTAGTCCGTTTGGTCAACACACGTAGTCCGTTTGGTCAACACACGTAGTCCGTTTGGTCAACACACGTAGTCCGTTTGGTCAACACACGTAGTCCGTTTGGTCGACACACGTAGTCCGTTTGGTCGACACACGTAGTCCGTTTGGTCGACACACGTAGTCCGTTTGGTCAACACACGTAGTCCGTTTGGTCAACACACGTAGTCCGTTTGGTCAACACACGTAGTCCGTTTGGTCAACACACGTAGTCCGTTTGGTCGACACACGGAGTCCGTTTGGTCAACACACGTAGTCCGTTTGGTCAACACACGTAGTCCGTTTGGTCAACACACGTAGTCCGTTTGGTCGACACACGTAGTCCGTTTGGTCGACACACGTAGTCCGTTTGGTCAACACACGTAGTCCGTTTGGTCAACACACGTAGTCCGTTTGGTCGACACACGTAGTCCGTTTGGTCAACACACGTAGTCCGTTTGGTCAACACACGTAGTCCGTTTGGTCAACACACGTAGTCCGTTTGGTCGACACACGTAGTCCGTTTGGTCAACACACGTAGTCCGTTTGGTCGACACACGTAGTCCGTTTGGTCGACACACGTAGTCCGTTTGGTCAACACACCATGTGACCATGTGTCAGCATGTGCACATGGTAGTCTCAGTCACCACACATGCATTCCACATGGTGCATTTCGAAGCCTCCACTTCCCTCCCCTCCCCTCCACTTCCCTCCCCTCCCCTCCACTTCCCTCCCCTCCCCTCCACTTCCCTCCCTCCCCTCCACTTCCCTCCCCTCCCCTCCACTTCCCTCCCCTCCCCTCCACTTCCCTCCCCTCCCCTCCACTTCCCTCCCCTCCCCTCCACTTCCCTCCCCTCCCCTCCACTTCCCTCCCCTCCCCTCCACTTCCCTCCCCTCCCCTCCACTTCCCTCCCCTCCCCTCCACTTCCCTCCCCTCCCCTCCACTTCCCTCCCCTCCCCTCCACTTCCCTCCCCTCCCCTCCACTTCCCTCCCCTCCCCTCCACTTCCCTCCCCTCCCCTCCACTTCCCTCCCCTCCCCTCCACTTCCCTCCCCTCCCCTCCACTTCCCTCCCCTCCCCTCCACTTCCCTCCCCTCCCCTCCACTTCCCTCCCCTCCCCTCCACTTCCCTCCCCTCCCCTCCACTTCCCTCCCCTCCCCTCCACTTCCCTCCCCTCCCCTCCCCTTCCCTCCCCTCCCCTCCACTTCCCTCCCCTCCCCTCCCCTCCCTCCCCTCCCCTCCCTTCCCTCCCCTCCCCTCCCCTCCCCTCCCTTCCCTCCCCTCCCCTCCCCTCCCCTCCCCTCCCCTCCCCTCCCCTTCCCTCCCCTCCCCTCCCCTCCCCTTCCCTCCCCTCCCCTCCCCTCCCCTCCCCTCCCCTCCCCTCCCCTTCCCTCCCCTCCCCTCCCCTCCCCTCCCCTCCCCTCCCCTCCCCTTCCCTCCCCTCCCCTCCCCTCCCCTCCCCTTCCCTCCCCTCCCCTCCCCTCCCCTCCCCTCCCCTCCCCTCCCCTCCCCTCCCCTCTCCTCCATTCCACTCGGCATGAACGCAGCTGCAATTTTGGCAGCACGTGCAAGTTCAACCATCCAGAGCTGCCGCACATGGCCCCCCACGTTGGCCCACCACGTGCGTTTTACATGCGCCATACCATGCCATGCCATGTCATGTCATGCCATGCCGTGCCATGCCATGCCATGTCATGCCATGCCGTGCCATGCCATGCCATGTCATGCCGTGCCATGCCATGCCATGCCATGCCTTGCCATGCCATGCCATGCCATGCCTTGCCATGCCGTGCCATGCCATGCCATGTCATGCCATGCCGTGCCATGCCATGCCATGTCATGCCGTGCCATGCCATGCCATGCCATGCCTTGCCATGCCATGCCATGCCTTGCCATGCCGTGCCATGCCAGGCACATGATCTCTCCCATGGGTGTCCTCCTTTCCCTCCACACACGCGTTTGCTTGCACCAACTCTCCACACACTCGTTTGCTTCCACCAAGCCTTCCACCCTTGTCTCTTCTCTTGGCTCATCTTTTGTTGCACAACACAGGGAATTCTCACCTGTCGATGCCACAACTCTCACGCGTTGCCCCCCCCCTCCCATACCCCCCCTTCCCCTGCCCCTTTTTTGGCTTCCTCTCCTTCCCCGGCTTTCTTCCTCGGTTTGGTGCTCTCACCCACCGTTACCAGGCTTCACCTCTCTGCACCGAGCTGACTGTCATCCTGAGGTGGGTGTGTGTGTGTTGATATGGATCAAGGGAGAGAGAGGGAAGGGAGAGAGAGGGATCAAGGGAGAGAGAGGCGATGTGTTTCTGGATATGGATAGAGGGAGGGTGGAGATGGGAAGAGAGGGAGCAAGTGAGAGAGGATTGCTCCTAATTCTGCCAGACTCATTTAGGCTAAAGCTAAAAAGAGAGGGAGGAATGCAACACAATTCATATCTCCTCGCCTGCACGGCACCCCTTGGACTAACCGTCCCTCCTCCTCCTCCTCCTCCCACCCTTTCTGCCGCCCTTCTTCCCGCCCGCCCTACCTTCGCCCCTTCTTCCCTTACCTCCCCCCCCCCCCCCTCTTTCCAAGCAGCAGCAGGATCTAACAGACGCGTGGCAGGTCCCCGCATGCACCCCTTCTCGCCACACCCCTTTTGAGACGTCTCAAAAGTTCCTACCTTCCCCCATTCTTCCCCCATTCCTCCCGCCACCCGTCCCCCCCCCTCCCCCCCCGCCTCTTTCCAAGCAGCAGCGGGATCTAACAGACGCGTGGCTGCTACCGGCAGGTCCCCGCATGCACCCCTTCTCGCCACACCCCTTCCCTGAACGGCCCGGCCAGCCCGAATGTGCGGTGAGTTACAAGCTTCTTCAGCCCTGGGAAGTCGTCTTTGAAACATTGGAACATCTCAAAAGCGTCCAGGGAGGTCGTTAGGTTCGGAAGCAATTCTTCCCCAAGTCACTGTGGCCTACGCTCTCGCTTCCCTCCCTTCCCCCTTGGCTGCGTTGTGACTTTTCCCTCTCCCCTCCCGTCCCCTCCGCTCCCCTTCCCCTCTCCCTGCCCCTCCCCCTCCACTCCCCCTACCCCCCCCCCTTCCCCCTCCCCTCCCCCTCACCCCTCTTCCCCTCCTCTCCCCCTATCCCCCTCCCCTTTCCCCATCCCTTCAGTTCTACATGAAAACAGGCCAGTGCAAGTTTGGAGCATACTGCAAGTTCCATCATCCGCGCATGCGCCTAAAACCAACTCCCTTATACTCAAGCCCCCTACAATTCTCCACCCCCACATACACTTTTCCCTCCCCTCTCCCCCCAAATCAGTTCTACATGAAAACAGGCCAGTGCAAGTTTGGGGCAGACTGCAAGTTCCATCATCCGTGCATGCGCCTCTCTTCCCCCTCACCTTCCCCTCCCCTCCCCCTCACCTTCCCCTCCCCTTCCCCTCCCCTTCCCCTCCCCCTTCCCCACCCCATCAGTTCTACATGAAAACAGGCCAGTGCAAATTCGGAGCAGACTGCAAGTTCCATCATCCCCGCATGCGCCTCTCCTCCCCCTCACCTTCCCCTCCCCTTCCCCTCCCCTCCCCCTCACCTTCCCCTCCCCTTCCCCTCCTCTTCCCCTCCCCCTTCCCCACCCCATCAGTTCTACATGAAAACAGGCCAGTGCAAATTCGGAGCAGGCTGCAAGTTCCATCATCCCCGCATGCGCCTCTCCTCCCCCTCACCTTCCCCTCCCCTTCCCCTCCCCTCCCCCTCACCTTCCCCTCCCCTTCCCCTCCTCTTCCCCTCCCCCTTCCCCACCCCATCAGTTCTACATGAAAACAGGCCAGTGCAAGTTTGGAGCAGACTGCAAGTTCCATCATCCCCGTATGCGCCTCCCCTCCCCCTCCGCTGCTGCTGCAAGCGGGGCAGGGGGGACAGGTCAAGGCGCAGGGGGAGGGGGGGGGATTGGAGGGGGGGGCATGGGGGGAGAAGGCGGGGGGACTGGTGGGGGTCTTGGGGGGGCTGTGCAGAATAGGAGCGGAGGGGGAGGAGGCAGAGGAGGGGCGATGGGGGGAGGTTTGGGAGGAGTGGGAGGAGGAGGCTTGGGTGGGGTTATGGGTATGGGTATGGGTGTGCGGCTAACAGCAGCAGGATTGCCAAGACGAGAGGTATGACAATTGTCAGTCGGACGAGAGGTATGACAATTGTCAGTCAGATGATGAGAGGTATGACTTATGAGATGCCTGAAAAGGTTAAGGTATGGGGGTGTCCAACTGACAGCAGCAGGCTTGCCTAGGCGAGTGACTTTTGAGTCGACTCAAAAGTCACCTCGTATGACTTTTGAGGCGCCTCAAAAGGTATGGGGTGTCCAACTGTGACAGCAGCAGGCTTCTTGCCTAGGCGAGTGCGAATGTGCTGTGCAATTTTCCCGGGCGGGAGAGAAACTTGCACAGCACACCTCTCGCATGCAATTTTCTACATGTGTGTGTGTGAGTGTGTGAGTGTGTGTGTGCGTGCCCTTCCAGGATCGTATTGCATGTTAATTTACCTGTTTTGAGGGGGGGGGCTGCTTTGCGATGTTGATTGCTGGGCTCATCTCATGTATACCCCGTGTGTGTGTACGTATATGTGTGGTTGTTCAACCTCTGCTTCTCTTTTCCAATTTGTTTCCTCCCCAATCCTCCCCTCCTTCTCCCTCGTTCTCCCCCACCCCTCCCTGGTTGCACCATGCCATCCCTCCCTCATCGCATGTGCCAGAATGAGATTGCCTGCGCCTATTACATGAAAGTAAGCAATCTCTCCTCTCTTCCTCTCTTTATCTACTCTTTTTTTTTCCTCTCTTGCTCTCTTTATCTCCTCCTTTTTTCCCTCTCTTCTCTTCTTATCTACATGCTCCTTTCTGGAGATTTTAATTCTTGTTACAACGCAGTCCATTCTCCGCTGTGCCTCGTCTACATAATTCTCTAATATGCTTCTGCTACCGCTGCCACCGCTGCTGCTGCTGCTGCTGCTGCTGCTGCTGCGCTGGTGGTACTTACACCGGTGGTGCTTCAGATGTTGTGCTGTCCCCTCTCTCCCCTCCCCTGCCCCGCACCGCCTCCCCCAATGCAGACGGGCACGTGTGTCGCTACAGAGCCACATGCAAGTTTGACCACCCACCGCCAGCAGAGGCAGCTGCACGCATGTTTTGAGACGTCTCAATGCACGCATCGCGATGGTGTCATTTTCTAAGACGTCTCAAGCCTCCTTCTCCCCCTGCCTTCCAACCTCGTCTTCCTCGCTCTCCTTCGCCCTGCCCTCTTCCCCCCTCTGTGTCCCCCAATGCAGACGGGCACGTGTCGCTACGGAGCCACATGCAAGTTAGACCACCCACCGCCAGCAGAGGCAGCTGCACGCGTCGCTATGGGTCAATCTCTAAGACGTCTCAATCCTGCTTCTCCCCATGCCTTTTCCCCTCCTGTTCACCCGCCCTCTTTCCCCCTCTGCGTCCCTTAATCCAGACGGGCACGTGTCGCTACGGAGCCACATGCAAGTTTGACCACCCACCGCCAGCAGAGGCTGCAGCACGGGCTGCTGCCATGGCTGCCAAAGACCCTTCCATCGCTGCAGCTACCGCCGCCGCCGCTGCAGCTGCTGGTGCTGCTGCTGGTGGTGCGTCAGCGGTTGGTGCTGCTGTTCTTGGTGCTAGTGGTAGTGTTTCTGCTGCTGCGGGTGGTTCTGATGCAGCAGATGCTGCTGCTGCTGCTGCTGCTGCTGCTGCTGTTTCTGCCTCCACTGCAAGTCTTTATGCCTCTTTGTCATCAGCCACTCTTTCTGCTGCTGCCGTTGCATGCGCTTCTCCTGAAGTTGCTGCCAGTGCTGCTAGTGCTAGTGCTAGTGCTAGTGCTGGTGCAAGTGTAGGCACATTCATGGTCTCGAGTGGTGAGAGCACAGGCGATATGAAGATTCATCCACATGCCACCACGGCAACAACAGCAGAAGCAGAAGCAGCGGCAGTAACATCATCCCTTGATGCTGCAGCACCAGCAGCAGCAGGTTTGTACGAGAGATTGCGATTCTTGGAGCTTCAGCAACAGCAGCAGCAGCTGGCGGAAGAGGAGAAGCATCAGCTAGGGCGTGAGCAGTGGCAGAGGCAGGAGCAGGGGCAACAGCAGTGGGAGGGAGTGAGTGAGCGGGTAAGCAGTGGGCAACGGCTGAAGCTACTTCGCCTGCCAAACGGCTCACTTTCCTCCTCCTCTGCATACCTGCCTCGCTCCCAAGGATCTTATTAGACTACCGTATACTCTCTAAGGCAGAGACGCACATCATTCGGTTGTTGACATGGGTGAGCGGGGATGGTACTGCATGGCATGCTGGGCATGGCATGGCATGACATGGCATGTATTGGGCATGCATGCCCGTCCATACCCATCCTTTCTTTACCTCCCGCAGCTAGAGATGGCTACATTAACTGGTGTGGTCAGTCTTTAGGTTCCACCACACTCCACTCTTCACATTATTCATTTGCCCGCCTTGAGAAGCCATGGCCATTGGCACGAGTGTACTGTGCCGTATACGGTACTGGGGAAAACTGTGAGCCGTTAATTTTTGCCTGACTAAATATTATACTATTGTTGACAACTTTTTAATATTTAATCATGTCTCTGCATGCAATCCATATCTAATGAGAAGTGAAAGCTCCTGCTTGAACTGCACCAATCACAAACTCAAAGGCAGACTTGCACTGAATTGGAGTTGGGGGTAGGTGGGGGACTGGGGGGGGGAGCCAGGGTGGAGTGAAGAGAGAAGGGGAAGAGGGGACGAATGCAGTCCCCACTCCGCTCACTCCTCTTTGCTTGCAAAACTAGTTGGCCGGGTGACCGGGTCAGCAGGCCTAGGGTTCTGTGTTGCATAGGGTACCGTATCAGGGTCCTGTTGCTTCTCTGTGCATGTGCATGGAGAATCACTGCATCAATTAGCGATGTTAGAGTAGGTGTGATTGACTATCGAGGAAGTTTGGGTATAGCCTAGTATATCTCAACGGACTGTAGCAGGCGCGCTAACGGCAAAGACGAAACCACAAAACGAGAAACTGCCCGGGGCAAAAAAAAAAAACCCCAGATGGATGGCATGCCATTCGGGAGCCTCAACCCTAAAATTTTAGGGTTTAGGCTCCCGAATGGTGCATGCCATCCCGATAGGATTTTAGTTTTTTCTGCCCGGGTCAGGGTGACGCTCGCGAAAGCGTCACCCCCGAGCGTCATCTCTGGCGAAACGGAGCGTCACCCCCGATTCCGTTGAGAGATACAAGGATGAAAACCCTAGGGGGTTGTACCCTACATTGACTACCCCACTACAGCCTAAACAGATATAACATGCACATACCGTAATTGACACACCCCCATAGGCAAAGTGGGGGAGAGCAATGGGTCACAAGTCCAGTCAAGAGAAGCAAAGCAAGCTCAGGGTGGATCACAACGTCACCACACACACTGAGCACAAGCAAAGGGGCCACAAGGCCAGTTCACATGCAGAGGTATATATGCAACAACAACAGCACAGCGATCTCTACCTAGCAGAGCAAGCATGAAGAGATTTATATATATATATATCACAGTACAGACAAAGTCTACAGCAAGTGAGGAAACGTGGGCACAAGGCCTAACAGGGTACAAAAACGCTGATGATCACCAGACGGAAGTGCCTTGGTGAATATATCAGCAGTGTTGGCCCGAGTGGCCATGTGAGCAAGACGAAGCCGACCACGCTGCTGTAACTCTCGAGCCAGGAAGTAGCGCAGAGCGATGTGCTTCGTTCTGTGCTCCAGTCTGTGCTCCTAACACAAGGCAATGGCGGCCTTGTTGTCTACGTACAGAACTGGAGGAGAACGAGGCCTCTCTCCCAAGTCGGTCAGCAGGTAGGTGAGCCAGCGTAACTCCTGTGCAGCCATGGCTGTGGCGTAGACCTCAGCCTCATAACTGGAGCCGAGAACAGAAGACGAGCGTGTAGAACGCCAAGAAACAGAGCCAGAGCCAAGACTGAAGGTGTAACCCTGTGACGACCGCTACGTAGCCAGGTCGTCAACCCAAGAAGCGTCTGAGTGACATGTGAGGACAACGTCGCCCCGTCCTCCGAGCACGAGCCCCATGCCCGATGTACTGCACAAGTAGCGTAGTACCCTTTTAGCAGCATCCATGTGCACCTTTCGGTGCCGACCAGGAGCCACGTAGCGAGCTAGAAGGCCAAGAGGGTATGCGAGGTCAGGACGAGTGCAGGTCATCAGGTACATGAGGCAGCCTACTAGCTCTGGGTAAGGACCACTCGGCTCTACGGACTCGTCCGAAGGTGGAGCTGAGAGCGAGTGACCTGTAGCCAGAGGAGTGACCTGTTCCGAGGACCAGGTGAAGCCGATGCGCTGAAGGACCTGCTGCACCATGTGTGACTGAGTCAGTGTGATGGTGCGGCGTGCTCTGTCCCGGGTGATCTGCAAGCCAAGGTAGCTGCGCAGTTCACCCAGGTCTGTGCACGTGTCTCTTCTGCATCTCCGACTTCACCAGAGCGAGAGCCTCAGTGTAAGCAGTGGCAAAGACCAAGTCGTCGACGTACACGAGGATGTAGAACGGCGGCAGCGAAGTGTCGGTGCGCAGAAACAGAGACGGGTCAGCAGTCGAAGGAGCAAACCCAAGAGCCGCAAGTGTCGTCCTCAGTGGCAAGTGTCGTCCTCAGGGTCGTTCCCTCCTGGTACCCAGTGGAGCCTCTGGCGGCCAGTCTACGGTCTCCGCCAGGCGCCGCGTGAGTGGCACTGACGATGTTTGCCCCAGGAGGGGGAACTCCGTCGACGTAGGTGCCCGTGGACTTCCAGGATGCCATATCTGCGTCCATGGCTGTCTGCTACTGAGAGGAGTACTCACCCGCGATCGCCTCAGCGTAAGAGCGCGGGGTCGGGATGTTTGGAACATCCGGGTCTCCCTCAAGGGCAAGCAGCATGGACACGAGATGGGGCGCAGCGGCTGCAAGACACTCAAGGTCCTCCTGCCTGTCCTCAAGGACGTCCGTGCCAAGAGCACACTCACCCCCGACGGACGGAGGACAGACAGACTCAGAATCAGCAACAAGACTAGCGGCGTAGTCTAGACGACAGGCAGCAGCAAAGTCAACAAGCTCAGCGACTAAGGCAGACGCAGCAGCAGACTCAAACGACGGGTCAGTGACAACTGTGGCTAGCAGACGCGTGACAGTAGGGTGAGCAGCACGAGCGCGGTCAGACTCAGGCTCTGGAACGTCAGGCAGAGAAGACGCAGGAGGAGACGGCAAGGGAACACGCTGCGGAGGAGAGGAAGGACGCAGGGCCATGAGGTGTGTGCCGGGGACAGCCGGCGGACGCTCATGAGGAACACGACGACCAGTACGACCAGTGCGGATAGTGCGAACAGGCGAGACAGGATGAGACGCAGGCTTACGACGCTCACTAAGACCCCTTGTCTGCTCAGTGTAAGGAGAAGGAGCAGGTAGCGGTGAGCCAGGCTGTAACGGAAGACCAGTAGAAGACGGGAGGCTAAGAACCTGGCGAAGCACGGAGCCAGGCGGTGGCAGAGACGAAGGTGACGGCGGTGCAGTGCCACCAGTACCAGTAGCTCCAGCACCTCCGGCAACTCTAGAACCTCCAGCGCCAGCACCCGCAGCAGCTCCACAACCTCCAGCTCCGGCGCCACCAGCGCCAGCACCTCCAACAACTCCTGAAATTCCAGCGCCAGCACCCGCAGGAGCTCCAGAACCTCCAGCACCAGCACTACCAGCGCCAGCACCTCCAACAGGTCCAGAAACTCCAGCGCCAGCACCCGCAGCACCTCCAAAACCTCCAGCACCAGCGCCACCAGCGCCAGCACCTCCGACAGCTCCAGAAGCTCCAGCACCAGCACCCACAGCAGGGCCCCTAGCTCCAGCAGCGCGACCCTGACGGCTAACGTACCACTCACGCAGCTGCTGTGGGGAGAGAGGGACAGCGCCGGCTCCAGTGCCTCCAACACCAGCACCTCTCGCAGCAGGGCCTCCAGCTCCAGCAGCGCGACCCTGACGGCTAACGTACCACTCACGCAGCTGCTATCGGGAGAGAGGGAGACGAGGACGAGAGTGCAGTGGCGAGGCACCAGCGGAGCGACTACGGAGACGGCCGCTCCAGGGAGACCGCTTACCAGACGCCTCAGCGCCCCCA